TCCAATCCAGGAGAAGATTGAGCTTCGGATGATGAAGGTCGGATTCTGTTTGCCTCTCCATTGTCTGACAACATCTCAAACGCCAATACGGCTTGATAGAGTGCCAAATGGTTTGATATCAAGTCGGATATGTCTCCCAAGAAGATCCCGAATTGCGTACCAAATTAAGTGTACAAGACTTCCATCTCTCCTAGTTCCGAATACCTTCGGTAGCATCTTTTGAAAACGACGAAAAGTTTGCGTACCTGCTTACCTTCGTCAGTTTTCATTGCTACCAGCCGATTGTAGTATTTAGAATCTCTAAATAAATCGAGCCACAAATTTCTTACCCCTGCATTCATTACATTCCTCGGTGAGATAGTACCATCCGGTTTGGTCTTCATTACGTCCGGAAAGTACGTTCCATACGTGTTTCAAAACACCCATGTCGGTTGGCCTTCTGACGGATCAACTCTCGTTGACACTCCTCCTAAATATCAATCTGAGTCTGGTATGGATGGCCCAGATCAAAGTTCTGTCGCCAAGCCGGTCGGAGTGGTGTTTTGGGTAAGCGCAGGAATTGTGAATCCAACCTGGTGTCTGAATCGTCGTCCTGATGGTGAAGTGTATGGTCCACATCATCCGGACCTATATCCACGAAGCGCAGTTGTTCTTCCGTTACGTTGATTTGGGGTTGATCCAACAGTGTTTGTGCTATTGGCTCATCTTCCGAGTCATCCTCTTCTGATTCACCATGACTTTGAGCCTTCGCTGCGGCTTGCATTTTCTTCCGCTACTTAATAAGTCTCAATTCATGTACCATTGGTTGATAGTTCTTCAGGAAGGCTCTCCTATCCCTTGCTATCATATGATAAGTAGGATCTTGCCTAAGTGCTGTGCGCGTATTCACTGGTGGGGATGATACATCTGATTCCAGTGCATGTCGCACTTCCTCTGAAGTTGAAATTTCCGAGGATTGCGTTTTCTCGGCTTTTCCCTTTCGAGATTTCGCCTTCTTCGCTGGTGGCTTCTGTGGCTCCGTAGTCACATTACCTCCGGATGCACCTACACCCGAGTCAACCAACTTCTTACGTTTCCGTTTAGTCAGAGTTGGTACCGGTTGTACCGGCGTGATCTCAGTTGCTTCAGCTTCCACTGATGGTGCCGGGGGTGTTTTCTGCTTTTCATCGCCTACAGTAAACCCTTTCACGTTTGTAGCCTTAGCTGCATTCGCTGCCTTATTTTTCCCTTTCGTCATAATATAGATAGCGTATATAAACTTGAAAATATGTAAAAGTCGGTCTCCTCTAGGCTGACTATACGATATCAAAACGTTTACGTTAATAAGACAATACGTTAATACGTTAAAATACAAAATGTTAAATAAGTTTAGCTTCCGCCCTTGGTAATGAGCAAAAGATTAAGGGATTTTAGACTGAGACTATTGTCTATATGCTCCGCTCTAATCACTCACTACTTCGGTCTAGATTTATATATATATTAGTTATTAAGACTAGATATCGTTTCATTGGACGCATAGTTTACATTTCACGCCTCGAAACAATTACCTTATCAAACTAACCAATAAAATACCTCTAAGTCCAACTTAAAGAAATAAAAATAAAATCAAAACACCAAGCTAGTGCAGTATACATCTGCACCTAAACTCCATCACCTGGTACCTAGCTCCCCATCCCATTTAAGGCAAAGACGGGTACACCTAGTTGGCTGGCTAGGAGGAATCAAAACCATGTTGTCCTAAATTCTAACAACTCTGATCCTGTCCTTTTCTCAGTGGATTATCTTGCTCTGAG